GGCCAAGAGGGGCTGTGGGAACCACCCAGGCCTGGACGGTCCTGGCCCTCCTGCCTCCCCCCGAGGGGCTGGGGAAGCAGGGGATGAAAGTGAGGAGCGGGCAAGCCCCATATGTTCCTTATGACCCAGACTTTGTTCCCAGCGCCCGAGACTAATAGGCGTGAAATCCACATCTGGGACCCACTTCCGGCCTGGCCATTCCCCCTGCCTCGGGCGCTGAGCCCAGTCTGTCTGTGTGCTAGAACAGAGGCAGCACAGGTGGCTTCCAGAGCTCAGAGGAGGCCCCTGCCCACCTCAGCATCGCTGATGGCTTCCTGCAAGAACAGACTCCAGAAGCGCATAAGAGCCTGAGTAGTAACCTGCCCAGCAGAGAAATGCAAAAGCGACCTGGCTGGTGCAGCTCAGTGGATTGAGTGCTTGTCTGCCAAGCAAAGGGTCATCTGTTTGATTTCCAGTCTAGGATTCATGCCTAGGTTGTGGGCCAGGTCCACAGGAGGGGGTGCATGAGAGGCAACCACACATTGGTGTTTCTCTCCCTTTCTTTCTCCTTCCCTTCCCCTCTCTACAAAATAAATTAATACAATCTTTGAAAAAAAGTATTTGCAAAAATTGCGAAACAGCTCCAGTTAGAGGCAACCATTTTTGCAAAGGGCCTGGTGTGATCAAAGAAGAGAGATGAAGCTGGGAACTGGTGGTGTCCAGATCACAGGGAGCCTCCAGGGCCAGACTGGGGGCCTGAGTTTTTTCCCAGGGCACTGGGGAGCCATGGATGGTCTACAAGCAGGGAAGGGGCAGAGTCAGCCCTGTATCAGAAACACTTATACAGACAATCATTGGGGTGGATCATTTCACTGGAGGAGCCCAGAGAAGGCTTTGAACCCACCCTGGAGGTCAGATAACTTCTCTCAGAGAAAATGACATCTAAGGGAGGTCTTGAAGGACAGAAGAAGGACTGGGTCATGACGAGAAAGGCTTAGGGGTGGAAATGTTGTCCAAGGCTGTTGGGAACTATGGAGTAGCTATGACCAGGGTGAGGCAGGCTCAACTGTAGATGTCGAAAGACCCCTCTGGGGTCTGTGGAGGATAGACTGGAGGGGGAGGGAGGGCCTCACCTCCTCCAGGAAGTCTTCCCTGATCTCCCAGGCTGGGCCCTGTGCCACTCCCTGCCCTGCCACTTCTTCACTGTCACTCTGTGGGGAGGCCACTGGTGAAAGGAGATGAGGTCTGAGCCTGGGCTGGGTGGGCGGGGCCAGAAGGAGAGGAAAATAACACCTATGCCAGGAAGCCTTCCTCTTAATCCCCATGCAAAAGACATTTTTTGAACCCCATTTCTAAATGCCACAGTCACTAGATTTTACTTCATTTACTCACTTATTTATTTGTTCAACATATGGTCCTGAAGTCTCCCTGGGAAATGCTGGAACTGAGACCAAGTCCCAGCTGGGACTCACCCTGGTGGGACGTCAGGGGGTGGCGTGGGGTGGGGTGGGAGAGAGACCTAGGCACGGTCTCGTCTGGTGTACTGTGTGACAACGCAGGCGGCACAGGGCCCAGCCTGGGACGTCCAGGAAGAGGCGTGCTGGAGGAGGTAGGCCCTTGCTGGGCCTTGCAGAAACTTCTAGTGTCTCCCAGGCAGATGGGAGGTGGCCAGGGTCTCTAGGGAGAGAGAGCAGGAGCATCCCCCTCATTTAATCATGCCTGAGGACCACCACGTGCCCCATGTGATGCAATGCTGGGGACATAGAGGTGGCTTGAGCCCGGGCCCTCCAGGGCAGACACACAGGGACACAGTCACCATCTAATGATATCTGTGCTCTGATGGAGGTAGCCGAGGGCATTGGAAATGTCTACAGCAGGCACTGGGAAGTCAGGGAGGGCTTCCTGGAGGAAGAGAGGTTAACTTTGAGTAGGTCCTGCTTTTTCTGCAGCATCAGTCCATCAGTCTCTCCCTCCCCATGTATCTTTGGTTCCTTCATTGTCTCTGCCACTGAAGAATTCCATGTTTTAAATTTTTTCTTTCATCCTTGGGGTTGGCTGCTGTGAAAAATCACCACAGACTGTGTGGCTGAAAATAACAGAAATTTATTCTTTCACGGTTCAAGAGGCCAAGAGTCAGAAATCAAGGTGTCGGCAGGGCCATACATAGTCCCTCTGAAGGCCCCACGGGTCCGTCCTCCTCGCCACCTCCAGCTACCGGTGACTCCAGGCACTCCCTGGCTCATGGCCGCATCACCCAAACTGAGCCTTCACATGGCTGTCTCCCCTGCCTCAAGTCTCCTTGTGCCTTTCTCTTACGAGGACCCTTGTCACTGGATTTAGGGTCCACCTGGATAATGGAGGATGACCTCACTCAAGATTATGAACTTAATTACCGGCAAAGACCTTTTGCTAAATAAGGCCCATTCATAGGTTATAAGTGAATGTATCTTTTTGTGGGGAGAGGGGTGCCCATTAAACCCACTACGTCCTGGGGAGTCCCTTCCCTCTCTGAGCCTCGGCATTCTATCTGTATGACCGGGCTGACTCTACCTCATGGGGCAGCTTTAAGGTTCGAATGAGGCCTCCAAGCCTGTAGCAGAGCCCCCAGATCTAGGGAACTCTTGGGGGTGCCTGCCATTTCTTCTGTTGGAGAAACATCTCTGTCAGGGCTGGGTGCTTCAGCGGGCCTTTTTCTGCCGCTTCCCTCGTTTTTCTGCACGTATGTCTCCATCGTGTGTCCTCCATCCCTCTCTGCTTTGCCTGTGTTCCCTCCTCCTCCACTTCCTAAGTGTAGGAAGTGGGCAAATTGCCTGTGCCCTCTGACTTGGTTTCCTCGTCTGTAGAATGAGATAATAATAGCCAATGCTTCACAGGGCAGTTGTGAGGATCATGCCAGCAGTTCACAGAAATCCTCACAATTTGGCCCTGAGCAGTGTGGCTCACTTGGTCAGGCATCATCCCCCAAAGCAAAGGGTTGCCAGTTCAATTCCCGGTCAGGGAACATGCCTGGGTTGCGAGTTCAGTCCCTGGTCAGGCACATATAGGAGGCAAAGGATTGATGTTTTTCTCCCTCTCTTTCTTTCTCCTTTCCCCTCTCTCTAAAACTAAATAACTAAAATCTTTTTTAAAACAAGAAATGCTCATAATTTGGCATGGTATGCAGTAGGTGCTAACTATTATTACTGTCACTATGATGATGATGATGTCTTGCCTCTTTTTCCTGTCTCCATAGCTCCCTCTGCCTCTTTGAGACATTCCTGCATTTCTTTTCTTTTTAAAATATATTTATTTTTAGAGGGGAAGGGAGGGAGAAAGAGAGGGAGAGAAACATCAATGTGTGGTTGCCTCTTGCACACCCCCTACTGGGAGGCCTAGCTCACATCCACAACTCAGGCTTGTGTCCTGACTAGGAATTGAACCGGCGACCCTTTGATTCACAGGCCGGCACTCAATCCACTGAGCCACACCAGCCAGGCCCATTCCTGCATTTCTGTCCTGCATTTCTGATCAGTGTGTCACCAACCTCTAAGCCTCACTGTAAAGGTCTATCTCTCTCTTCCTCTCCCCACCTGTGATGGTTTGAGAACAAGCCCACAGGAGATACTCTTCCCTTCGAGAGAAAGATCCTAAGCTCTTTCTCTCTGAATGCCTGTCTTTGTTTCTTTTTTAAAATTTTATTTATTTATTTTTAGAGAGAGGAGAAGGGAGGGGGGAAGAGAGTTAGAGAAACATCTATGTGAGAGAGAAACACTGATGGGGTTGCCTGCCTGCAACCCAGGCATGTGCTCTGACCAAGAATCAAACCGGCAATCTTTCGCTTTGTGCAACGATGCACCCATCCCCCTGAGCCACACTGGTCAGGGCTGAATGCCTGGCTTTCTGACTCCTTTTAGGTTGGTTTGTCTGTTTCTGGGTCTCTCTCTCTACCTGGATCTCTGCCATCCGTTCCTTCCTGTCATCTGTATTTACAGACGTGCAGGTGTGTGTCTGCCTCTTTCTCCTCCCCCAGCCCCTCTGGCCCTGGCCCTGGCCCTAAGTGTGTTTCTATGCCTCTGTCTCTCTTTAGCGTTTGCTGTGCCCTTCTGTCTACTGATCTTTCTGTTTCTGTCTCCCTCCAGGCCCTCCCGCCTGGCATCCTGGCTTTCCGTCTCTGACCTGCTGGCGGACCTGTCTCTGCGTCTCTCTGCTTCCATCTCTGTGTGTCTCTGTGCCTGTCTCTTTTCTCTACCTCCATCTGCATCTCTCATTCTGGGTCTCTCTCTGTCCCTATCTCTATCTTTGTATTTCCCACTCAGTGTGTGTCTCCGTCTCTCTCACCCTCCCATCTCCAGCCTGCCATCTCCCTTCGCCATGCCTCTCTGCATCTACCTCAGGCTCCCCTTCCCTTCCAGGGCCTCCGCATTCTCCCATTTCACCTCGGGCTCTCTCGCCGGGGCCTTCCCGGCTCCTCCTCCCCACCTCTCTCTCCCTCTCCAGGTCTCTGCCTCCCCCTCCTGGTCAGCAGCCCTCACCGCACCTCAGGCTCCCAGGGGATCCCCGAGCCTGGTTAAGGCAGCCCCTGGCGGAGGCCCGAGGGGAGCTCTGGGCGGGGGCTGCAGGCGCTGGTGCAGGCTCCAGCCTGGGTCTCAGAGAGCTGGGGGACCTCGGATCCCCCAGGGCCAGGGTCTTGAGCACGCAGACTTGGGAGGTTTCTCCCAGCTCCACCTTAAGCGCCCCCCCTTCCCTCTTCTGAGGAGGATGGGAACCGCCAGCTCCAGCCCCAGGTGTCCGACCACCACCCGCCCCCATGGCCCCAGCGAACCCTCCATCCTGCCCCTTGAGCACCACACACACACACACACACACACACACACACACACACACACCAGCCTGAGGAGCATTCACTGCTGTGAGAGCACACGCCTGCCCCCCAACAACCACAAAAAAATTAAATAACACCAAGATAGGGAGGGGGAGGAGGGAGGAAGGGACAAGAGAGAAGAGAGAGAAACAGAAGAGGCAGGAGAGGAGGAGGTGGAGAGAGACGGAGAAGCTTAGAGAGGGAGAGAGGAGGTGAAGAGGGAGAAACCAGAAAGAAGAGGCAGGAGCAGAGAAGGGAGAGGGGGAGGAAGAGGAGGAGGAGGAGGTGAGAGAAGCAGGATGGGGACATGGAGTTAGGTGGCTTGGGAGAGCTTACTGAAAAGAGCCAAGAGGGGGTGTGGATTAGAGACCAAGAGGTAACCCCAGGGAGAAGCAGAAGGCAGAGACAGCAGTAGGAAGATCAGGAGGCAGGGGGAGACTGGAGAGTTGAGAAGGAAGAGAGACTCAGAGGGGAGGACGGAGAGGAGTGGGTTGAGGGGATCGCAGTCCCCTGCTGGCTTGGTATTTGGGGAACCGGGACTCCCCGTGGGGAGAGGAGGAAGGCTGGAAGTCCTGGAGGGACAGAGTCCCACGGAAAAGAGAGGGAAGAGCTGAGAGGGGCTGGGGCGCTGGGAAGGGGTCGCCCCGAGGCCTCCCGGGGATGGGTGGTGCAGCTAGTCTGAGCGCCTCGCGAACGCTGGTACTCTGGGCTGCACTGGGGGCAGCAGGTAAGGCCTGGGGTCGGGGCACGAGCCGCTGAGGGAGGGCCGGGTGGGGGTGCCAAGGAGAGAGGTGCAGGCTGCTCTCTCCCCAGCTCACATCGGACCCGCACCTGACCCCGAGGACTGGTGGAGCTACAAGGATAATCTCCAGGGAAACTTCGTGCCAGGTGCAGCCAGGGAGGGGCCCAGCAGTCCAGGCCCGGGGCACCTCCTCCCTCAGACCCGGGAACCCTCTCCTCCCAGGAGTCCCAGCCCCTCCCTTCCTCCCTCCCGATTCCCGCCCAGCCTCTGAACCCCAGGGGCTCACCATGGGGCATTATACATGCGCATTTCAAGTGGTGAGTGGGAGTGAGTGGAAGGAGAGTGTGGGGGTGGAAGAGTGTGTGTGTGTGTGTGTGTGTGTGTGTGTGTGTGCTTGCAGGGGAAGAGGCAGGCAGGTCCTAGCTCCTGCTGGGAACCAAAGGTTCAGTGGCCCCCTCCCTTGCCTAGTCCAGCCCTCTCTTGCAAGTCCTCTCCCCACTACATTCATTATCCAGCTGTGCTGCAGGGGAGACTGAAAGAACTACAACTCCCATGGGCTCTGGGGCAAGGCGGCAGTGGATAAGTAGGCTGGCAGCCATAGGGCCTGCTGGGAGTTGTAGTTCCTCCCCCAATGACTTCATTTAAGACAGGTTTCATCATGGAGAGGCTTGGAGGTGTTGGGGGGTCTTTAGAAACTCCTCCAGGATTCTTCTAGGGTCCAGGATTCTGGATCCCAGCCCCCTTCTCCCTCAGATCCAGGAGTCTAGGTTCCCAGCCATTCTTCTGGGATTCAGGGTTCCACACCACAGCCTTCTCAGCAGATGTCAACATTGGGATCCAGCCCCTATTTCTGACTCTCTTTCCTCCCTGCCCTGCCCCTGCCCCCAGGGCCTCCCTTCTGGGGCCTGGTGAACGCAGCCTGGAGTCTGTGTGCCGTGGGGAAGCGGCAGAGCCCCGTGGATGTGGAGCTGAAGAGGGTTCTTTACGACCCCTTCCTGCCGCCACTGAGGCTCAGCACTGGGGGAGAGAAGGTAAGGGGCCTGGAGGGAGGCGTTCCCAATCCAGTGAACCAACCCGGGGTGGGCACTAGTGAAGCCTGCGGTGGGGCACTGAGGTGGGTGGCAACCACTGAGTTGGGGGAGAAGGGGTACAAGCTGGATGGAGAGCAGGCTCCGCTGCCCTCCCCACACATGGCTCCCTCGTCGCCCCATCTCTGGAGAAGCAATGGTAAAATAGTTAAACCCTCTAATCCTCACAGCAACCCCATGAAACAGGTGCTAACTTTATCCTTATTTTATGAATGCAGAAACTGAGGCACAGAGAGGTTATTTGCCTGAAGTCACACAGCTGGAGAGTGCCAGTGCTGGGATTCAAACCCAGGCAGCATTGTCCCAGCATCCAAGCTCTTGCTCACTTTGCAATACCACTTAAAAAAAAAAAAGATTTTATTTCTCTTTAGAGAGAGGGGAAGGGAGAGAGAAAGAGAGGGAGAGAAACATCAATGTGTGGTTGCCTCTCACACGCCCCCTACTGGGGACTTGGCTCACAACCCAGGCATGTGCCCTAACCGGGAATCAAACTGGTGACCCTTTGCTTCACAGCCTGGAACTCAATCTATTGAGCCACACCAGCCAGGGCACAATACCACTTTTTCTATGAGCCAGCTCCATCCTTCACTCAGCTGCTCCAGCTAAAGCCTTGGAGCCATTCCCCATTTTGTTCTGTCCCTCATTCCCACGTCCAGTGTGTCCTTGCTAGTCTCCCTGCTAAATATCATTCAAATGCTTTTACTTCTTGTGGCCTCCACCGCCCCCACCGTTGTCTTGCACCTGAACTGGTGTCCCAGCTTCCTTGCTGGCCTGCCTGCCTGCCTCCCTCCTGCAACCCATTCTCCACCCTGCAGCCAGGGAGATGTTTAAAAACACAAACCAGATCAGACTTCCCCTACTGAAAACCCTTCTCTCAGAATAAGTAATAGCACCACATGCCTGGCACTGTGCCAAGTGTGTTATATATATATATATATTCAATTATTTAAATAAAAATATAAAATGCCCTGTAATTGTCCATCTGGCTCCCATCACCATTCTTCCTTTGCTCATGGCTCTGGTCCCACTGGCCTCTTCGCTGTTGCTGAAATAGGCCACCTCAGAGCCTTTGCACTTGCTGTTCCCTCTTCCTGAAATGCCCTTCTCTCCGCTCTTTCAGGTCTGCATTCAAATGCCACCTCCTCAGGGAAGCCCTTCCCTGACCTCCCCCTGCACTCCAATCTAGGCCAGGTTTCTCATTACGCTTTCTCAGAGTCGCCAGTTCTTCCCAGCATGGGCACAGCATCTAATTAATGGAGCCGTTAATCATGCAAATCAGTATTTGTTGTCTGTCTGTCCCCAATTCAAACATAAGCTCTGTGAGGCCCAGGATTTTTGTCTGCTTGTTCATTGTTCTCTTCCTGGTATCCATGGCACATAGTCACCAGCCAATAAATACATTTTTTAAAGATTTTATTTATTTCCTTTTAGAGAGGGGAAGGGACAGAGAAAGAGAGGGAGAGAAACATCAATGTGTGGTTGCCTCTTGTGCACTCCCTACGGGGGATCTGGCCCACAACTCAAGCATGTGCCCTGACTGGGAATCGAACTGGCAACCCTGTGGATCGTCAGCCAGGGCTCAATTCACTGAGCTACACCAGCCAGGGCTCAATAAACAATTAATTAAGTATAATAAATTCACCACCATTGAGCACCTACCATGGACTAGCACAGAGCCTGGAAAGTCGGTGGTGCTCAAACTGCGCTGAATGATGAAATGCTGGTTGGAAGCAGGAAATGCAGGCGTGGACATGGGAGGAGAGAGACCTTCTCTCTGTGTCCCCACGTGGTCTTCTGCCTTTCCCACAGCTCCGGGGAACCCTGTACAACACCGGTCGCCACGTGTCTTTCCTGCCTGCACCCCGGCCCGTGGTCAATGTGTCTGGGGGTCCCCTCCTTTATAGCCACCGACTCAGTGAATTGCGGCTGCTATTTGGAGCACGTGACGGAGCTGGCTCTGAACACCAGATCAACCACCAGGGTTTCTCTGCTGAGGTGCTGGCCACTGACCTCTGACCCTTGTCCCGAGCCAATCCAATTCCTCCCCTCACCCTCCTCTTAATCCCTCACCACATCCTCCCCACAGAACTACTTCCCCCCCAGCACTTACCTTTAACCTGACTTGGGCCCCCCAAAAGCTCAGAACTGTACCCATCCCTTCCCTTTTGCCGGGGAACCCCACTCTCTCTGTTCCCCTCCCAGGTGCAGCTCATCCACTTCAACCAAGAACTCTACGGGAACCTCAGCGCAGCCACCCGGGGCCCCAATGGCCTGGCCATTCTCAGCCTCTTTGTCAATGTGAGCGCAGGCAAGATTCGGAGGGAGGGAGTGACTGGGCACCTGGGATCTGGGGTCTGAGGAAGAGGGAGGCTGGGAGGCTGAGACTCCTGGGTATTGGGGGTAGGGAGGGATGGAAGGCTTGAACTTCTGTGTTCCTACCTCCTCACCTCACCCCCGCCACACACACACAGGTGGCTGGAAGCTCAAACCCGTTCCTCAGCCGCCTCCTGAACCGGGACACCATCACCCGCATCTCCTACAAGAGTAAGTCCCAGTGCGCTGGTGGAGGAGGTGCGTGCAAAGAGGGGAGCTCAGGTGTGCCACTCCTCTTCACTCTGGCGAAATATGTCTGCAGATGACGCCTACTTTCTTCAAGACCTAAGCCTGGAGCTCCTATTCCCTGACTCCTTCGGCTTCATCACCTATCAGGGCTCTCTCAGCACCCCACCCTGCTCTGAGACTGTCACCTGGATCCTCATTGACCGGGCCCTCAATATCACCTCCCTCCAGGTGACCCTCCGTCTACACCCCCCACCCCTTGCCTCACCTAGCCTCCTTCCCCACATTGACTGGGAACTGGAGGGGGGTCACGGGGTGCAGCTGAGCAAGGCACCTCTGATCCGCTCCCAGGGGCGGGACTTCGTGTATGACGTCATCAGAACTTCCATTATTCACTCCCAGTTTCCCACTCCACCCCCCTTCCTGTGGCAGATGCATTCCCTGAGACTCCTGAGCCAGAATCCTCCATCCCAGATCTTCCAGAGCCTCAGCGGTAACGGCCGGCCCCTGCAGCCCTTGGCCCACAGGGCCTTGAGGGGCAACAGGGACCCCCGGCACCCTGAGAGGCGCTGCCGAGGCCCCAACTACCGCCTGCATGGTATGGTCCAGTCTGCGCCCCCCCTCCCACGTCTTGGTCTAACCCGCCTATGTGTTCCCCCCCATGGCGCATCAATATGATACAGTCCTACTACCCTCCTTTGCTGCTCTGCATGGTCCAGCCTCCTGATCTCTCACTCGCGCTCTCTCCCTCCTCCCTGTGTGTCCGCGCGCTGCAGTCCACCTCCCCGCCACAGACCATTGCAGGTCCGTGATTTGTCTTTCCTCTTCACTGCTTGCGACCTGCAACTTGTCTATAACCCGAGACTCCTGGCTTCTTTGTGATACGATTAACTTTTGGTCCGTGGTTCCCAGTAGTATGGCTTTCCGAATCCAGATCTATTTCCTGTTTCCATAGGTTTAACCCTATGCTGTTCCATAATCTGGTAGCCCTCCTTTACTGAGAATTAACATGGTTCAATCCCCTTCCCTTCCTACTCCCTCCCCTCGGTTCAGCCCTGTGATCTAAAGGGCCACCTCTCTGACATCTCAACATGGTACGGACCAGAGCCCCCCCTCCCTGCAAGAATACCTTCACATAGTTCAGCCTGATGCTGAAACGGAACGCCCCTGTTCCACCCTCCTGCTGCCTCTCTACGGCTCAACCCACTGCCGGCCCATTTCTCCCAGCTTCCCAGCCTGGTATATTCCGGTTCCCCCTTCTCAGCCTCCCAGGGGTACAGCCCTACGCGGCCCAGCCCCCGCCCCCTGCACGCCCCCTGCACAGTCCATCCTACGGTGCCCTAAACTAACGTCCCCGAACGGTGTCGTCTGTCTTACAGTGGATGGTGTCCCCCATGGTCGCTGAGATTCCCTATCGAGGATTGCACCTGTTCTTCCCAACCCTACCCAAGAGGGAAGGGGAGTCACTCCCAAAACAAAGCTATTAAAGGAACAGAATAATTCCTGTTTCTCAGTGGTCTGATTCCAGGCGCGGAGGGGTATTAGAGAATAGCAGCCTTCTTCTAGAAACCAATCGCCGTCTTCCTGAACCCCACTATTCGGGTTTCGGCTTCCTGTTTTCCAAAACAGTCGTTTGGATATGCGGCTCCTTTAAGCGGCGCCTCTCCCCCACCCCCCTCCCTACCCCTTACCCACTCTCGGGGTCAGGCAGCACGCGCAGAGCCATGTGCTTCCTCCTACCGCTTGCCTCATTGGCTCGAACTGGGTCACGATCCCGCCCCCAGCGTCGTCATCCATTGGCCAAATGTAGGTCAGTGTCCCGCCTCCCATCAGAAGGCCAGACAACTTCACGCCCTGGGCCCCTCCTGCTTCCCGGGCCTTGGCGAGCCCAGGGGTCCCATTGGTTGTGAGTCTCGAGGGGTAGGGATGCGATTGGTCCGCACTTTCAGCCTGAGGGAGGCACGCGGCTGGGGTGCATGGCCCAAGAGGAGGGCGGGGCAGGGTGGGTAGAGTCCGAGAGGAGGGGTGCTCGCTGTGGCGTCGGGTGTTTTGGTTTGGCTTTTTTTTTTTTCCGCGAAAGAAGTTTGCTTTGGCCACGCCTCAAAGCGGCCGCCTCCTCCTGTCCCCTCCCCCGCCCCTCCGCGCACACCTCTTGGTGCAGATTGCGAAGCGTCTTCCGTTGAGAGAGCTGCAGATTTTGCAAGAGCCAGGCTCGACCACCTTATAGAAGGAGCGCCTTGAGTCCCCTTAAACCCTCTGTTGCAAGGAGCTGGCCGCCTGGTTTGATCAAACCCTCACCCAGACTGCATGGTCTCCTGGGACCCTCCAGAGTTGCACGTTTCTGCAGCGAGGACTGCAAATCCCCGTAGCTCCTAGGATTTGCACTGTTCTGGATACTGGAATCTTGCAAGCTGCGCTCGCCTGAACCTGGGCAGACACTTGCCCGAACCACAGGAGTTTACCGTTGAGTGGCAGGTCAGCTCATCGTCTCTCCATGAGCCCGTGAACCTGCGGGCAGGTGCCCGGCGATGGCGCGGCCCCAGAGTGACAGGACCCCGGCCCCCCTGCTGCTGGGCGGCCCGGCCGGGACCCCCCCTGGCGGGGGAGCGCTGCTTGGGTTACGGAGCCTTCTGCAAGGGACCAGCAAGCCCAAAGAACCGGCCAGCTGTGAGTTCTATACCCCACCTCGCCCAGCTCAGACACCCTACTCCCTTAGGGACTCCTGGGGGTGGGGAGTCCACAGCTATCCCCTACGGTGCCGGTAATCCATCCTCCCAACCTTTACCAATGTACTAAGGTGTTTAGACCCCCAGATCCCTCAGCATCCACGACCCCAGAGTACCGGCTCTCAAGCCCCTCCACCCCGAGGACCCAGGAGTCCAGCCTCCTCCATGCCCTTCTCCCAGAGGACCCAATAGTCTAAGCCCCAACCCCCTCTTCCCTTTGGTTCTGAGAGTCTGGACCCCTGGGGTCCAGGGAGGAGGGAGGGGGTGTGTCGGATGCTCACACGGTAGTGACACGGGCCTGGGCGGGGCCTTCTGGGGTCACATGGAGTCTAGGGATGAGGAATGTGCCCCAGGAATAGAGCCCCTTCCTGTCCCTTATAGAGTGTGGGGACGGGGCGGGGAAGGGGTACTTGCACACGGGGGCGGGGGGTAGGTTACAGAGGAATCACAAAGCTGTCATTTTTTTTTTTCTCTCACCTGCCCAACCCTCTACCTACCTCTGTCTGAACTTCCGTTCCCGTCCTGTGTCTGTCCCTTACTGGGTCTCTGTCCCCATCTCTCTTCGCCTCTCTGACCTCCGCTCTTAATGAGTTCTATTCCTCTTGGTCTCTGTCCCTCTTGGTGTCTCTGCCGACTCCGTCTTTGACCTTTCTCTATGGGTTTCTCTCCCTCTGAGTCTCTGTCCTCTCCTCTCTCTGGGTCCTTGCCCTCCCTCTCCGGTCTCCCTCCACCCCCGTCTGTCCCCTCTTTCCCTGGATCTCCATCGTGTGGGTCTCTGTTTTCCCTTTCCTCGTGTCTCTCTGACTCGGGGGTCCCTTCTCCATCTCTGTCTTCCTCTCCTTTCCTACCCTGCCCGGTCTTCCTGGCCCCCAGGTCTCCTGAAGGAAAAGGAGCGCAGGGCGGTTCTGCCGGCAGCCACGGTTCCCGGGCCCAGCCTGGAGTCGGCAGGCCCGGCGGCGGGCCCGGCGGATGCCCCAGCTGGGGCGGTGGTGGGCGGCGGGTCCCCCCGAGGGCGCCCGGCAGCTGCGCCTGGCCCGAGTCTGTTGGCGCCGCTGCTGTGGGAACGGACGCTGCCATTCGGCGACGTGGAGTACGTGGACCTGGACGCCTTCCTGCTGGAGCACGGGCTCCCTCCCAGTCCACCGCCCCCCGGTGGCCCATCACCGGCACCTTCGCCCATGCGCACGCCCGCACCCTCCCCGGGGCCCGGTTCCTGCTGCTCGGCTTCCCCTCGCTCCTCGCCGGGGCACGCCCCCGCCCGGGCTGCCCTCGGGGTGACAGGCGGACACCGCGCAGGTGCAGCGGCGGGGGCAGGGCCTTGGGTGGGCGGGCTTAGTCTACAGGGGGCGGGGCGGTGAGACACCCCGGCCAGCTGGTGGGACTCAGGCTGTGTGTCTGGATTCCGGGCTCCCTAGTTGAGACCGGTCGGAAGAGATCAGACTGGGTCTCCAGGATCAATAGAAAAGGAGCGACTTGGGACCTCAAATTCCAGGAAGCCTGCCTAGTGGGGCGGCAGTGTGGACTTTCTGTGGGACGTAGGGACTCGTGGAGCCGGGACTACGAGCCCAGAACACTGGAGTTATTTAGTGGAAAGTGGATTGTGCCCCCATGTTCTGGGCCCAGAATTAGTGGAACTGGGATAGGACCGAACTCCTAGGCCTAGTAGACTGGGGAGAATGCGAGGGCTGGGCACAGACTTATGTTTTTCCACACGTAAGGGACTGCCAGCCCTGGTTTCTAGGTCCCCCACTACAGACGGGCAAGGACCCTGGGTCCTGCAATCCAGCAGAGGGGAGAAGGCAGAGGATCTTCATTCTAGGTCTTACGTTGGGGCGAGGGCCAAGCTTCCTATATTCCTGGGAGAGGAATGGCCTGGGATCCCAGAATCGTGTGCACCCCAGTGGCAAAGGGGTCCTGGGGAAAAGATCGTGGGCCGGTTCCCCTGTGTTCCTGAGAGTGTAGGGGGAACTGGATCCTGGAGGTTCAAAGGTTCGAGCTGAGAGGCCCAAAGGAGCAAGAGGAAAAGTGTGCTTCCTCTGGCACCTTGGGGTGTTCAGGGTTGGGCTGCAGGTCCGGGATTGTTGGACACACCTGCCACAGGTCGGACCTTCGGGTCAGACCTCCAGGCAGACCCAGGGCCCTCCCCTTCCCCGCCGCATGCTCCCGCGCCACGTGAGTCCTCTCTTAACCTCCTCTGAGCTTCGCGCACGCGCAGTCATGCTGGAGGGGGCGGAGCTTGGGGAACGTGAGGCTGCCCTAGGCGGCGGGGGTGGAGGTGGGGGCGGGAAAAAGCAGGCTCCGGCACGTGACTCGGTCCTGAACCGGTGTCCTCAGCTGACCCTTGCTTGCTTGCTCTTAAAGGGGCAGGCCGCCAGACCCTTTTCGCTTCTGTTCAGTAACTCTTGAGAGCTAATAGTTCTTAAGAGGCTTTTGAGGTGTTTTTAGTGCATTGGAGTCCGTTTCCCGGAGCATCCTGGGGTCTAGACGTTGGCCGGGGACTCAGAAAGAAGGATTCAGGCTAGTTTATGGGATAGAAGCTATCACTGACCAAAGGCATCAGGATTTAGAAGCAATAGCCCAGACTCAAGGGTAATTTAGGACAAATCGGGTAATGATTGGGCCGCAGTTTCCCTGTTTGTAGAAGTGGAGTTGGTGCCATGATTTCTAAGCATCTTTGTGGCTTAGGGAAGCTCAGCATTTTATATTAGGGGTGTTGATCTCTGGCAAAGCTTTACGTTGGCCTTCATTATGGTGGATATACCTGAGTAGGGGGTGGCATCTGGGAACCACCTTTGCAAAATAAACACAATCAGGTGACACATTCTATTCCCCCCAAGGCCTGACCTCTCGGGACACACCCAGCCCTGTGGACCCAGATACCGTGGAGGTGCTGATGACCTTTGAACCCGATCCTGCTGATTTAGCTCTGTCAAGCATTCCGGGCCATGAGACCTTTGACCCTCGGAGACATCGCTTCTCAGAGGAAGAACTTAAGCCCCAGCCCATTATGAAGAAGGCGAGGAAGATCCAGGTGCCAGAGGAGCAGAAGGTGAGCACTGCCGGATGTGGGACACAGGCTGGGCTAGCGCGGTCCCCACAGCCAGGGTTTCTCACAGTCTGGCCTGGGCTCTTCCTAGGATTAGCTCTCAGTCTCACCTACAGCCAAGGATCAGCCCTCGTTGGCCATGAGGTACAAGGGGAGCAAGTTTTGGGCTTGGAATTTATGAAATCACTGGTATCACTGAAATTTATGGGGAGCAAGTTTTGGGCTTGGAATTTATGAAATCACTGGTATCACTGAAATTTATGGTATCACTGTGGGACACAGACTCAGCTAGCCCTGCCAGACCCAGTTGTACACACTTGGTGCCTCTCCCGCCAGCTGGAACCAAGCTGCTCAGTGGGGCAGGCTCTGGGCTCTGCCCCTCTCAGTTACTAAGGACAATGTTTCTTAGCAGTGGGGTACCAATCTGTCTCTTCTAAATGGCCAGCCAGGCTGGGGCTTGCCTGAGCCCAGGACACAGACTTTGCCAGCCCTCTAGGCCTTGTGTCCTGGGTCTGGACCACCTCATTGGCAGGGGGCCTCAGGGTCCCATTGGCAGCCAGAGCCACATTCTGATGTGGGTTCTTTGGGCAGTGACAACACACTTCTAGCATTCCCACTTTTCCAGTTCTGGGGTGTCTCCTAATAAGAGATGCCTGGGCTTCTCTCATAAGACTTTGCCATGCCTCCATGGAAGACACAGCTACTCAGGGCAGCTAGGACCAGCCTCCAACAAATCTACGCCAGTGGTTTCTTCTAGCACAGGGCCTTGTTGCTAGGTACTGGATTTGCCCTAGCAAGGAGGAACTAGGCTTTAATTAAATGGGGTTCAGGAGGCATCTTTCAGAGTTCTGCGTGCTCCTTGGGACTAAGGAGTGGTCCTCTTCTGCAGCCAGATGCCTGGACTAGGGAACCCTGGGCACAGCCATGTAAGGAGATCTCAGTATGGACCCTTTGCTAAAGGACAATGCTTCTAGTCATCGGGACGTATTTGGCAGGGGGCAGCTCCCCAGCCTCTATTCAAGGCCAGCAGGTCACAGACCAGCTGCAGTCATTGGGACTACTTAGACATTACTTTTTTTTTTTTATTATTGATTGATTTTAGAGATACAGAGGGCAAGAGGGAGAGTCATATACATCAGTTTGTTCTCCCACTTTATGCATTCATCAGTTGATTCTTTTATGTGCCCTGACCAGGGATTGAACCCACAACCTTGGAGTATCAGGACAATGCTCTAACCACCTGAGCTACTCCGCCAGGGCAGACCTTTTGTTTGCTAAGGAGGGATGAGGTTGCTCTGGCAACCAGATTTGAAGGGATTCAGCTCTGGAAATATTTTATGGGACTTGAAATCCCATCACCAGGGAGGCTAGACTTTCCTTAGCAACCGGGATCTGGAAAGGTGATGTATAAGGCAGTGCTTTTCACTGGGAGCTCTTACACCCCGAAGGCTTTGTTGCTAGGGAACAAGCATCCTTAGCATCCAGGAACTAACTGCAGGCCCTTTGTCAGGTGAGGAGCGTGGTGTCTGCTCTGCACACTGAAGACTTGAAGCCCAGTGATTTGTGGTGGGAGCTTCTCTCCTGCTTTAGCTGTTGCTAGGGGCCTGCTCTCCTTAACAACCAGGGCCCTAGAAGGGCAGACCCTTGGGTACCCATCCCAGCAGAGACCTCTGATGGGCAAGAAACAGCCCTAGAAGTCTTCTACATTCCCTCTGACCCGTGAAGGAACAAGCAAAGTTGTTCCTCCCTTCTCTCGCTGTGGCCAGGGCCCCTCTGAACCTCATTGCTTTCCCACCTCTGTATCCCCAGGATGAAAAGTATTGGAGTCGGCGGTACAAGAATAACGAGGCAGCCAAGCGGTCCCGCGACGCCAGGCGCCTTAAGGAGAACCAGATATCCGTGCGGGCGGCCTTCCTGGAGAAGGAGAATGCCCTGCTCCGGCAGGAGGTGGTGGCCGTGCGCCAGGAGCTGTCGCACTACCGTGCTGTGCTCTCCCGCTACCAGGCCCAGCACGGGGCCCTGTGAGGCCATCCCCCTTTCCCCACCTGGCGGAGCTCACCTCCGCCTCACTCAGACTTGCGCCCAGACGCCTCCTTCCCTCCCCACCCTGTGGCCCACGGGCCGGTCAGCTGGGTGCCCCAGGGACGTGAGGATGCAGATAAATACATTTATATTTTTAAGAAAAAGCGAGCCTCCCCCCTCCCTCGCGGGGGCGGGGAGAGTCTTCTGTGTGCCCCTGGCACGTCGGGGGGCCCGTCCTCCCGCCGCCTCCGTTTAACACGATCCTGAATAAATCTTGATAACCCTAGAGCCAGCTGTCGTGGGGGAGGAGGCACCCCCCTGGCCCCAGTTCAAGGCCAGCGGGGTCACGCTAGCCACAGTCCGTGGGTAAGTCTGGGCTTCGGGCACTCCCAGGGACTACTAGATGAAGAGATCAGGGTCTAAAAGGAATGAAGCGACTACCTTTATTGCATAGACCTTTTCAAGTGCTTTGAAGATTGGGTTCAGGAAATGCACAGGACACAGAACACGGGAAACGAACGCTGCCCGCACTCACGCGCGGGGAAGGGAGGAACTGTAGTGCAAATGCGAGCGTCGGCCCCGGGGAACCCGCCCCTCCAGGGCTGATTGGCCAGTTAAATAGAGGCACCGGAGTCGACAGGGAGAGATCCTGAACGGCCAGCCCGTGCATTCCAGGCCTCATCATTGGACAACAGGTTAAGCCCCGCCCTCAGCCGACCTGTTTTTTAATCTGAGCTCTACCCTCCCAGGCGAGTCCAATTTCCTGTGATCCTGATGGCCCTCACCCCCTAACATTTGGGTCACCCTCCAGCATCTCCTCTGGTCCTCTGGGTGAGGGCGCAGTCCTGAGCCAGAACTACGGGAGCTGCACGTGGGACCTCCACCTGAACTCTAGCTGCCAGGTCACATCACTGAGCCCAGGCCCCGCCCCCTTGGAATGTAGCCCCCCGCCCGTACCGGTTTCCAAGTTTTGCGAGATTCAAGGCTCTCGCCCAGGACGGCCAGGAGGTCCAGTGAGCAGTGTACCAAGACGCGGATGCACCTGTGCCTGCAGGGGCCCATACTCCACCCGCTCCCCATCCACCGTAAGCACCCCACGAGGTGTGAGCGGCTCCAGGCGAAAGGCACGAGCCGCGGAGTAGCCCAGCTGTGGGCAGCCCAGGCTGAAGTGGCTACCCTGCTCCATGGCCAGGAAAAGGCGCAGCAGTGCCGCTCGCGAGATGCCACCACGCACCCAAAACAGGTGCACCAGGCCATCGTCAAAGCGCGCGTGGGGGGCTGCCACCAGGTCAGCCCCCAAGTGGCTGGGTGAGATAGCCAAGACTAGCACGAAGTCCTCCTCCAGCGTCACCCAGCCTGGGGGTAGTGGGGCACCCAGAGGAGGAAGCAGGTCGTCTGGGGGACCCCCAGTAGAGGCAGCTACTGGGTCACTGGACAGGAGCCCAGAGGATGCTGTTGTTTCTGGGGCCCCCTCGTTGATGGGTGAGAGTAGAGCTGACTTGGGGGAGCCAGGCGGAGAGGGCAGCAGTGGGTCTGGGGACAGTGGAGCATCTCCAGCCCCAACCCAGTCCCCAGCCAGCTCTGGGGCCCCGCCATTAAGGGCCAGGACGGGCAGCGGTTCAGGGGAGTCTGGGGAGGTCAGGGCAGGCTGAGGGAGCGGCAGGGGCAGGTCAGACATGGAGCGATGAAGGGGTGAGTGGGCCACAGGTGGAGCTGGGACAGGCGCCAGGGTCAACTCCGATTTGGCCCGGGGCAGGCCGTGGGCAGGGGTGGGTGAGGCAGGCTCCACAGTGGCAGGGAGGTAGGAGAGGCGTCCACGGTAGGTGTGCAGTGTGGCGAGGCTCAGCACTGTGCTCAGTGTGAAACGGGCACTGCCCAAGGCCCTGAAGCGCTCACTGTGGATGTCCACGTCCGACACAAAGCCCCAGGCCACAGACAGGAAGGAGAAGCAGCGGGAGCCCGAGGCCAGCGTCACAGACAGCAGGTCCAGTGGGCAGCAGCCGCCCCGGCAGAGCAGCAGGGCGCAGTGCAGCAGCAAGTCGACACCCAGGGCCTGCTCAAACCTTGAGGGCCAGACACAGATTGACACAGTGAGACAGAGGAAGCAAGACTGGGTGAAGAACAGCGCACGGGGCAGGGCAGAGACAGACAGACAGACAGACAGCAAGGGGACAGGCGAGCCATGTCCCTGGGCCCATCCACAGCTACTTAGCCACCTCCACACGGACTCCTCTTACTGGGCCAGGTTCCCTGTCGATCCTTGCACGCCACAAGCATTCACTAAGTGTTGCCTGTGTGACAGGCACAGTTCTGGGCACTAGGGATACAGCTGGGAACAAGACCAGCAAAAATGCCAGACTGATTCAACCTGACAGTGGACTGGTGGAGGGGGTGGCAGATGTGCCGGGTCCCTGTTAGCCCTCCTTCAGGGTATCCTCAGGCTCCCCCGGGGCAGGGAAAGCCCACCTACCCCCCGTGGTGGTTCACAGCTCCAGCCAGGGCGTTGCCTGAGCCGCAGGGCAGGATGCCCACAGGCGTCTTCACAGCCTCTTCCCAGTCGGGGCGATCTAGGAGCCCGTTCAGCACCTGCGGAGCCAGAGACCAGACACCTGAGTGCTTGTCCTGGCCTCTGTGGTTCTCCTGAAACCTGGGGCTCGACACAGGGCGGCTCCTGCCCTACCTCATACAGCAGCCCATCTCCAGAGACTGTGACAATGCCATCCCATTCACGCAGGCTCAGTCCCTGGACCAGCTCCCGAGCATGGTTCTGTCGTTCTAATGTAGGGAACCCGGAGGTGAGGCAAGCTGTTCCACTCCCACCCCACCCCTGCTCCCCAGGACTCGGAAATTCAGCCCCAGGCCCTCACCTTCCATGCCAACACCACCCTTACCTGTCTGGATGAGGTTGAAGGAGAGCCCAGCTTCAGAGATCATGGGCAGCACGTGGTTCTTACACCACTGCCAAGCCAGGCCCCGCCCACCAAAGGGATTGACCAATAGAAGCAATCGCGGTGGCCTGGGCAGGAGATGGGAGGTGATTTCTGCAGAGAGAGGGGAGGGAGTCTGTAGAGGCCAGAGGCTCAGGTCCCTCACCTCAGAAATGGTCACTGCACAAACCCTCCAATGGGGCCTGGGGAGGGCCGACCCTGGAGCCTCCAGGAAGTTGTTTTTCTTTCCCAGGCCTCACCTGCCCAGGCCGCTCCCTTCTTAGACAAAGGCTCAGCTTAGGTGTCTAATCCCAATGCCCTCTGGACCCCCCCCCTCCCCGTGGGAACAGGAACGTGTTGTTTCCTCATTCCTGAGAACACCTGGATCCTAGATCAGGTGGCTACACTCTAAGAGGTTGTGTGGGTCACCACCCAGGCACCCAGCAGGACCCTGGGTGGCACCCCTGCCCAAAAGCCTTTTGCAGACCCCTAGACTAGTTTTAGATGCCACCTCTGAGAACTCTGGTTGCTGACTGGTCACATCTCAGTCTGCTGCTCTCGCCAGCCTGGGAGCCTCTGACTCATCTGTGGTCAGGACCCACGTAAAAGGGGAAGGGATAGAGGCAAAAATGTAGCAAGAGCGCAGCAGACACAAATAATTTTTCTCAGCTTGTGATTTGTTCTTCCTGTAGCCTCTCACCGTCTTGGTGTCACTCTTCCAGCACTGACCCAGGGAGACATCACTCAGACACACAGAAACGCAGAGAGAGACACCCACAGAGGGGGACCCACAGAGCCACCGAGGCTGCCCCGGACCTCACCCCCGTCCCCTGGCAGCGGCAGTCCACGGAGCAGACACGTGAGGACAGTGGCCCAGCGCTGGGCCTCCGCCCGATTCTCCTCGTAGGTGCCCGCCCCATCGGCCCGGAAGGTGCGTGTGACCCTCCGCCGGCCCCCGCGCCGGCCCCTCGGGTACGTGTAGACACAGAAGTAGGCCGCTGAGTCTGAGGGGTTGCGGCTCCGCAGGGTGCAACAGCCTGAGACCTCGGCCAGCGGGACCAGGCCGCCCCGGGGCCTGGCCTCAGGCTTTGGACGCAGCCGCTGTATGTGCAGGGCCTGCGGTGTGAGAGTGAGGGCAAAGCGCGGGCCTCGGGCCGGGTGGGAGCCAAACTCGCCGTGCAGGAGCGGAGTGCTGGCGGCCAGGGGTGGCGGCGGCAGCGGGACCATGGCCTCGGCCCCTTCCAGGGCAGTCCTAGGCCTGTGGCCCGAGCTCCAGGTCAGCTACTGGTCTGGCTCCTGTGGGAGGAAGGGCAGGTGTCAGAGTCCAGGACCCCTGTGTCACGTGGAGGGAAGCAGGGCAGGGCCTGTGGACAGGGGGAGACAATGAGGGGCAATCACAGGTGCACCAGACCGACAGGCCCAGAAAAATGTGGGGAGACCCTGGAAATGCAGGGGAGAAACTGGATAGACTGGAACGTCCACACCCGCGCATGCAAACATTTACTCATTCATTTCCTAAATAATTATTCACTCCCCCCGTGGGCCAATCACAACGCCAGGCCTCGCAAACACAGCGGGGAGCAGAGTGGACCACAAATCCCTGCCTTCGTGGAGTTTACGTGTGTAAACTAACAAACGAAAAACGAGACAAAAAAGTAAAATATAGTGTGTCGGATGACAGGGACTGTAGGAAAGGAAGGCAGAGGGTCGAAATCAGGATGTTGGAGACACAGGAAGAAACAGACACGCAAAGACGGAGAAAAACACAACACACGCAGTGGTCTCCAGATGGAGAAAGTAGCAAGGGGCAGACATTGGATACAAAGTAGAAGACGGGTAAACAGCTTCAAAGAAATGAAACCTAGGGTGACAACAGATACTTGGGAGATTAAGAGAGTTGCAGGGGCTCTGGGAGGCCCTTAGAGGGTCAGGAAGACGAGGGAGCAGAACATAGAGAACACAGGCAGGAGGTGGAAGGTGCAGAGACCAGGAAAAACGGAAAAAGGGCTGTGACATGAGGGGACTAAGGGGTCAGAGAGCTAGAAGAGCCACATGCAGGCATCTCCCAGGGACAGGGTGCAAGAGCTGGCCCCCTACTCTTCAGGGAAGGGATGGGAGCTGGCCTGAGGTCCCCTCCCCAGAAGCTCTCCCCCTGCCCTCTGCCTTTGCTTCTGCCTCCTCCTTCTTACTCACCTTTGCTCCCCTCTGCTCCGCACACACAGCCACCTGCCAGTCCTGCCTCTCACCTTCCCCCCTCCTCCAGCTGCCCCAGACACAGCCCCATCTGCATGACCTCGCCCTACAGAGTCAACTCTGCCCTTGTCCTGGGCAGCTGTCTCAGGCCCCGCCCCTTACCTCAAATCAG